CGCCGCATCAGCAGCAGATGGGATTAGGACATGGCCAGCCGTCCATGCACGGTGCGTAATTTTCCTCGCGTTTTCACGCTCTATGTCCACTGATTCATAAAACGTGTGTAGGGCCGTATGACACCGAAGAGCCGTACGCGCCCTCCGCGCGCCGCGCGCCGTCCGACGCGTACGGATCGACGGCCCCGCCGCGCTCGGCGTACGACGACGCGCAGTCGCAGTACAACCAGCCGATGCCGCCTCAACAGCAGCCCGCGCTCGCGACACACGCGCCCGTGCCGAGCGTGCCGCGCAATATATGGAACCAGGTCCTCGACCCCAGCGCGCCGCAGCCGCAGCCGTCCAATGGCCGCGACACGTTCGTGCAGCTCGAGGCGCCCGAGGCTACGATGACGAAAGCGTTCACGCCGCACGGCCTGCTTTCGGCTGGGCTGCAGGACAAGCAGGACCGGTCGGCGAAGAAGCAGGAGGAGCTCGCGCGCGAGACGGGCGCTAGTCTGATCAACGTCCCGCATAAGCCCCCGCCGCCGCAGACCGGCCTGCTCGGCGCCATCACGGCGCACGAGCGCGAGCGCAAGCGCGAAGGCGGCGTCGGCGCCGCGCTGACCGAGCGCGAGCGCGAGAAACGCGCGGCCGAAGAGCGCCAGCGGAAGATCGACGAGCTCCAGCGGCAGCAGCTCGAGGCGATGACGCAGAACGGCGGGAGCATGTACGGCGGGTATCCCGGCGCGGGCGGGATGGGCATGAACCCGATGATGCTGAACCCGATGATGAGCATGTACGGGATGATGCCGCAGATGACGGGCATGGGCATGATGGGCATGGGCGGGATGGGCATGAACCCGTACGCGGCGGGCCAGCAGCATATGTTCGCGGCGCAGCAGGCCCAGCAGGCGTATCAGCAGGCTATGATGTCGTTCTCTCAAGCCGGCTCTCAAGCTGGTGACGCGCCGCAGAATCCTGCTGGGGGTGGACCTGGGGGAGCGAGTCCGGCGCCGGGACAGATGCATCCTATGATGACGGGCGGAAGCTTCGCGGACCCGAGGATGAGCATGATGATGAACCCCATGCTGTCGCCGATGATGACGGGCGGGATGAACCCCATGATGGGCATGGGCGGGATGAACCCGTATATGATGGGCGGAGGCTCGCCGATGATGACGCCTGGAGGCGGCGCGCAGACGCAGTCGGGGTTCTTCCCGCCTATGGACCAGATGGGGCAGCAGCAGGGCGGGATGATGATGCAGGCGCCGCCGAGTATGGGCGAGTTGTCGGCGGGTGGGCAAAGGACGGGCTCGGGACCGTCGAGGAATGGGTCGCCTGCGCCCGCGAGGGGCAGTCCGCTCGCTCGTCCGCCTGCATAGGCGCGTCTTCGCATCCGGCCTTTCCGTTGTTGTTGTGCAAAATGCGCTCGCTGTAGCGCGCTTACGACTCTCCTTACTCTCTTGATCTTGGTTCTGGTTCTAGCTACCACATCCCCCTCGCTTTCGATCTTTATTCACTACAGGCTTTCGGTCATACCCTGACTATCCTAATTCTCGATCGGACTCGGACTACTCGCTCTTTTTACCCCCTCCACGAACATACCACTCTTTCTGTCGCTCATCTCATCATCTTCCTCCACCTCGACATCTGTTCGTCTCTCTGATATCTACCTCTCACTTATACGTCGCGTCGTTCTTGCATACTGGACCTCAACGTTCAACCTTTCACGATACTTGGCTTTCGGAAATGGACGGACTCGCACTATTTGCGCATGCGTCTTTGTTCTGTGTATCTACAACTCGTTGCATTGCCTAGTATAGTTATTGGTTCAGTCATACAGAGGTGTGGATGTGCTCGAAACCGAAGAACAAGCGCAGTCGGCTTTTGCCGAAGGCTCAGGCTGTCGACGCGGTCACGCTTGTTTCGGCGCTTGCCGCGAGGTTGTCTCTTGCCAGCATCGTAGCCACGCCCGACTTTCGCTGTGTACGATCAGACGCGCGGCCATGAGGTTGCGATGTCTGTATAGAGGATGCGGCCGATGTACAACTATCCTGACGATGAAATCTGAAATGCCATCGCGGTCTGTGACATACACCTCCTGTTCACGCGCGCACGACCGCGGCTTGCGCTATTTCGAGCGAGTCTACACTTACTTGACCTCGGATCATACTTGAACGCTGTGCAGAACGTGCTGCTGGACGGAGGATGGACAGGGATAAGCTGCTTGACCTTGTATCAGATAGCCGAAACGGTCCAGTTTGAGCCGCTTAGGTGGACGATTGACTAGGCAACCCTCTCTACGTGGGCTCTTCAGGACACCGAGTCGAAGTTATACAACATACTCATCCACTCTGAGTCCCTTTTTGAGCCCACGGACAGGTTAACTCTCTGACGCGTGGAGCAGAAGGTACTTGCACGTTCATGCCCTCTCGAATGGAGCTCAGACACTCTTACGCAGGTATCCGAAACCCAGGAGTCCGTCCTCTCCTCTTCTTTACTCTCCGAACTTTCGCCAGATTCACAGTACTATCACAGGACGTTGCTACAGGGGATTAACGATCTCTATATAAGCCCTCCACAAGACGTTCTCAAACTCCAGCATCTTCAGCCAGCTCTCTCAGATCCTCAGACAGCCAGCCGACGCTCAACCACCCTCGCCCACATCTACCACCATCAGCATGTTTACCGGCATCTCTACCCTTGTCCTTCTCGCCGTCTCATCAGTGAACGGCTCCCCCATGCCGTTCGACAAGCGCGAACCGCAGTTCTCGTTCAACTTCACCAACCGCCTTCCGGTGAACGGACGCCTTCCCTTCGGCATTAACCTCGCCCAGGGCGCGAACGGGAACAGCATCGCGATGTTCGGCAACGCTACCACGGGCGACCGCGGCTTCCCATTCAACCTTCTCCCGTTCAAGCGCGATGAGCTCGCCGCGTTCGAGGAGATGCAGAAGCGGGACCCCCAGTTCTCGTTCAACTTCACGAACCGCCTCCCCATCACCGGAAACCTCCCATTCGGTCTCCACTTCAGCCAGGGAGCGGACGGGAACAGCATCTTGTCGTTCGGCAATGCTACGACCGGCGACCGCGGTTTCCCGTTCAACTTCCTTCCCTTCAAGCGCGATGAGGAGTTGGTCGCTCGTGAGCCCCAGTTCTCGTTCAACTTCACCAACCGCCTCCCGGTGAACGGACGTCTACCTTTCGGCATCAACATCGGCCAGAATGCGGATGGCAACAGCATCGCGACGTTCGGCAACGCTACAACCGGTGACCGCGGCTTCCCGTTCAACTTCCTCCCTTTCAAGCGTGAGGAGGAGCTCGAGCTCGTCGCTCGTGAGCCGCAGTTCTCATTCAACTTTACCAACCGCCTCCCGGTCAACGGCCGTCTCCCCTTCGGCATCAACATCGGCCAGAACGCCGACGGGAACAGCATTGCGATGTTCGGCAATGCTACCACCGGCGACCGTGGCTTCCCGTTCAACTTCTTGCCCTTCAAGCGCGAGGAGGAGATTCAGGCGTAGATTCTTGTAAAACTCCCGCTCCTTCAGACTGCATAACGACCTAGACGCATTCCCTTGTATACCGCTCACATCTCTGTATAAATCTGTAGCACCCTCTTAATGTATTCCCGTGTAATAGCCCTACACATATAGATTTACCTGCTCTACCTCTTTCATGAAGAACTTGCTCGAACCCGACCCTGACGCCGTCGTCAACGGTGACTTCATCAACCTCTCTTCTCCCTCTTCCGCATCTTCTTGTCCTCCCCTAGCGTGTCTCACTTACTCCTCCAGCATACGTCTCCCGCCCCTTGAACTTCCTGTCAGCCGTCGATGGCCTAGCGTATCTGTCCGTGTCGGACAGTTCCGAAGCGAGAACCCCGAGGCGCAGCTCCTCTCGCCGAGGCACACCTATCGAGTATAGCGCGGGACTTTCGGATGGTCCGCCGCTTATCGCCACAGACCCGTGGTCCATGGACTTGAGAACTCGGCATAAACGCCTGCACGGCTTGCCCGCGCGGTTAGAAGCAAGATAGCGTTGTCGCTGCCGCCGCCGATGTTCGAAGCTCGAGGCTCGACTTCCGATATGAGAAGAGAGTCCACGATCGGACGGGCCACATGAAAGTCGGGAAAAGCAGCGCGCCGACGTGCATATATTGTGCCTTAGCGGACGGAGGAGTAATGGTACAGTTACAATATATTCGGAGACTACAACGGATGATGATGATAGAGGCATTCGTTCCGGAAACGGGACAGAGAGCGGGGGTAAAGCACTGGGGGTAAGCAGGGGAGAGAGCGTTTTGGTGGTGATTAGTATGTGGAGGAGGGTAGGGAAGACGGATCATTCGAGAGTATAAGTACGTTTTGACAGGAGAAGATGTTGAAGGTCAAAAGAAGCACTCGGGTCAGAACACGAATAAACAAATGAGAGCAGAGGCCTGATGAGCGGCCTGAAAACCAAGATGCGAGCGCCGCGCAATAGCGCTACGCAGCAACCGCGGCGGCGGGGGTGAGCGCAATTGCATGCACGGGCTCCCTCCGCCAGCGCCGATCGGGATAGATTGCAGACTCGTCCTTCAGCCCATCCCAATGGAGACGGTCAAACGGTCGACTGAGCTGATGCAAGATCTCCTCATCAATGAACGAGCGCTCGATCTCGAGCGCGTACTCCGGCCGACTCTTGCTGAGGGGGCAGCGCGTGCTCTGAAGGAACGGCGCGAGCGGATCCCGGAAGTCGACGCATGCGACGTGAAGCATCTGGATGGCGGGAAGGAGCGGCTCCGTGCGCGGAGGCAAGCGTGTCTGCCAAAGCATATACGCGGCAGTGGAGGCCATCTTCACGCCGGGCCCCGCATGCACCTGCTCGACGGTCTTGAGATGATTGAACGCGCGAGTCCACATCGCGTCTTCCTCGAAGAGTAGACTCGAGACCCGCGCGGTGAGGCAGCCATGCAGCGGGAAGACATCGCGCATAACGGCTTCCGTGAGGTCAGCCAGACGCTCGACGGTCTCACGCGGCGGATGGGCAGCGGGGACGCCGAGCGTGAAGAGTGGAATGTTGAGCTCCATCCGTGGCGGCAACGCCATCTCGCCAGGCCCAGGCGCTGTCGGATGCGAAACCGTGACGCTGACTCCGAGGAAAAAGCGGTCCTGCAACTCGGATACCGTCACCTGCGTGTACGACGGTCCGCCCATTCCTGGCGCCCAGTTGAACAACCCGAAGGCCTCACGGAGCGAGGTCGTGAAGTCGGGCAGCGACATGCCCTCGGGAGGTCCGCCGTCGACAGTGACAAGCCTCTCTGCTGTCTGAGGTACCTCGATGTACTGCGAGAGCGTCGAGAGGAGTCGCGGAAAGCGCGACCAAAGGTGTAAGCGCTCCATGGCCTCCATGCGAACCGGCTCGACACCATCATCTGGCCCTGGGAGCTCAAACCATGGCGAACACCGCACAATGAACGTGGTGAGATCCGGCACGGTGTGCAGAAACGCCGTCATCTCGCCGAGCGTCTGCCAAAGAGGCTGCATGCCAGAGGTCATGACGAGATGGCGCATCGAAGCGCTCGGCTTGTCGGCTTCAATGCCAAACGCGGACTGGAGAGCAGATGGGATAGTGAGAAGACCATCCCAGTGAGCGTGCGCAGGCTGGCCTTCGATGTTGCGCTCGTAACCAAACACCAGGCAGCCGACTTCGTTATTCGGCGCCTCGAGAGTTTCCAAGCACCGTAGGACGACGCATGAGTCGCCGTTGAGGCGGAGAGTGCGGCATCGTTGGAGCTTGATCTTGCGCGGCTTGCCAATGATATGAGGATCACCCGATTGCCACGACGGCAGAACGGCGCCGCGCATGAGCGCGAGATACTCGAGGTTGGGCAGCGACTCGACGGTATCGAAGAAACTACCGAGGTTCTCCCAAGCGGGACGGTTGAATGCCATTTCGAGATGCGTGAGCGATGTGCTGTAGATGTTCGCGTTCATGGGACAGAGAACGTCCATCACGACGAGGATGCGCAGCTTCTCGGGAGTAGAACCCTGGAAGATGTCGACCGGGATAGCGGGACGAGGCTCAGCGCCGGGCATGAGCAACATGATCTCAAGGCGCTCCAACAGCGGCACATCGGTGGTACGCAGGACCTCGAGCGACTGGATGAGGGATGCGGCTTCGCGAGATGCAATAGAGATCTGCTTCGCGCGGGACGCGCTAGTAAGGGCGAGAGAAAGTGCAGCGGGATCCGTGGTCGTCGGCCTGACGCCTACGCCCGAATCAATGAGAATGGGCTGGTCCCGGGAGAGGGCCAGGGCGCGTTGCGTCCAACCGAAGCTCTCGAGCGGCATGTACGTCCAGAAGGACTTCCACTCGACACTGGCCGACCGCCATTCCCTGCAAACATGTGCAACCACAAGCCAGTTCGGCCGTGCACCGCGACGACGGAGATGGAGAGTATGCGGAGGGTCTTGGTTCAAGTTCGATGGGAGCAGCTCGTAGAAGATCTTCTGGATGATCTCGCGGGGCAAGCGATGTATGATCGACTGTACTGAACGATTGACGGTGAGACCAAGTACAGTCGTAGAAAGGCTAGACGCGGCAGGCGCTGGATTGATACTAAGTTCGCGTTGCCGGCGAGAGATCTGGGTAGAGGCTTCAGCAGAAGTCGCCGACAATAGCAGAGCTCACGTACTGCTAAGGGCGAATCAGACATGTCGACAAGTGAACAGGTGCCCCTATTACGCGAATGGTTCAGGTCGGTGAGACTGACGTGTCCGAGTCCGAAGCTAGCAGAGGAACGCGCGCAGACTCAGATGCGACGATGCAAGCAGTGAGCGGAGAAGTCGCGCTGTGCTATAAAGAGCGGGGAACCATGGCGGCGGAAACCAAGTATTACTTTTATGACCCGCGGCCGGGCGTGAATGAGACTGCTCACACGCTCGCTGCAGGGGCGATGATATTCCATCCAGGGCGTTCTATTGCAAATGCCGATCAGGGCGATCATGCACAATGCGTCGCTCTACCTGCTGACCAATGGAACCGCAGCGGACAAGGTGCGTGGACAGGCGGGGAC